CCGCGATATATTATATTATGTCGCTGATATCGCAATTTCGGGCGAATTCGTAACGCTTATGAAAGCGGAGAATGAAAAGAAAAATAGCGTGCGATATAATCGATACCGATCGTCGCCCCAAAACGCGTCGCAAAAGACTAGAATGATTAAGAATAAACGCGTCGGGCGCGATTAAAAACACGGGATGCACATACCTAACGACAATTAATAACGAGAATTATTGTTACAGTATTACGAGTAATGCGGTTCGAAGAGTGGGACGTCTCTTTTTGATTTCTGGCAAATATAATATTCATTGTTATATCTATATATGTATATATATATGTATATATATTACGTAAGAGACATAATATGTACAAATGTCGCGACGCAGAGCTGAGTCTCGTTGTGTTTTCCAAGTTTAACGTGGAGAACTAAGTCTTTCTGTAAATTGTCTTCTCTTTCCCTCGAAGTAATAAATGAATATCAAAAACTTAAAGCAGAATTCTTTAAAAATAATGTCCGCTATTGTTTCGATAAATTGATATCTAAATGCCTTTCTAATATAAAAAAAATGATTTATGTAAAATACATTACATGCAACAAGCAAGCCTTTAAAATGCGTAAATCATCAATTGTGCACAATCATTGCCCAATGTATACATTCTCGTTTATAAATAAAATTATTAAGACGAAATGTTGAAGGATTAACCAATGTCGTGTATAATTTATTGTAAAAATTCTACTTACCCAATAATACTCTATTCTAGATGGAATACTTATATTTTGCGGACTTTATAAACTCTCTCATTGCGCTTCAATATCGCGCTTATGTAATTTTTTTTATTTTTCGTCATTTATCACAGCATCGTGCGTTACAGCGTTCCTCTGTTCTGCGTACTTCAACAAGATGGAAATTGCATAATTAATTATACATGTACTTCAACGAATCGTAAAAGCATCCAATGATAAAAATTCATTCGTAATTATTACGAATGTATGCGATGTTGTTGCCGAGTATACGTCGATCGTATTCACGTAATAATAAATTAACATCGTATCTTGTCATTAGATTCTGCTATTGCACAGCGATAATAAGACCCATGCAAATGTGGACGGATTGCGATTTTTACGTGCGGATCGACGAATTTCCTACAACGAAACATTTTTTGATATTTCTCCATTATCTCAAGTAGCCCCCAGTTATCGACTCTATTTTCAAGCGTATTTTACAAAATATAGAATACACTTCGTACAAAATTCCTACGAATTTTGGAGGTCAAAAACAGTAAGAACGTAAGACGTTCCAGACCTCGCAGAATTCGATCTTTTGGGATAATCTCAATTACGTTCTGTACTCGCGAAGGAAAGTCGCTTCGAAGATCAATGGTATGTCAAAAAATCTCCCTGCTCACGTAGCACCAACGCGTGTGCTGAGCGCGAATTTTTCCACGGGATCAATTTCCCGGTGCGATCGAGGATGAGCCTGAGGTTTCCTCCGTCGACCTCTCTCAATCGGTGCACTCGGAGGCAAAGCTCTCGAGGTCCACGTAGTGCCCGTTCATGTTGTCCTCCAGCAGCTGAGCGAGATCCCTACGTAGGATCTGAAACTCTGGCCTGCGGTCGGGATCGGCGTGCCAGCATCGGGATATCACCCTGAAGAGCTCGGTTCGACAGTGCGAAGGCCTCTCCAGCCGATAACCGTTGTGCACGTTCCGCATGACTTCCCGCGCCGTCATATCCGGGTACGGTGTTGAACCTGAACAGAGAGCACAAAGTGGTGCGATTATTACGACGGGATGTCAGCACGATAGGTCGCGGTAGGAAGAAGCTACCATCCATTGATTAAAGTACATGCTTTAACAAGGTATAAATTGGATATTTTCTCTTTTTCCCTAGTGGATATTCAAGATGATCGTATGTGTGTAGCCACATCGGGTTCTTTTAACTGATATAAGGACGACAAAAAATGGAAGATTCAGGAAATCGCTATAAAATTTTGATGATATATTTAATGACATATTTTGCAGATTAATTTCTTTTTCTTTGTAATTTTGTTAATTAAATAAAACTAATAACACAAGTTTACATTTAATATATAAGTTTACTTCCAAACTATTAGCGTGTCTGCACAAGCATACCTTTATTTTCATATCAAATAATAACAACGCAACAAAAGGATTCTCAATCCTTTATATTTTTACTTTAAGAGGCTTTGAGTAAAAAAAATAATATTTATTCCAATAACAAGCTACCGAAATCAAGCAAGTCACTTAGTCATTCTCGAATGACAGGCGATGAAGGCACTTACCTAAAGTAACGATCTCCCACATCAGAATCCCGAAGCTCCAGACGTCGGTCTTCGTCGTGAATAGGGAGTAGATCAAAGATTCGGGGGCCATCCATCGGATGGGTAAGGCATTTCTGCCGTGTCTAGTCTCGATCACCTCGCCATCCTCGTTGGCGAACCTCGACATGCCGAAGTCGGCGATTTTGCACAGCTTGTTGTGATCCACGAGAACGTTTCTGGCGGCGAGGTCGCGGTGGATGATCTGCGCAGAGAAAGAGAGAGAACCAAGTCACACCGATGAACGACCGGCGCTCGCTCTCGAGAGGTGCATGTTCCATTACGTGTGCGATTGCTTACGGTCTGCCCGCATGACGGGGAATTACACGCTATTACGAGTTCGGTGCAGCGAGTCGTCTCGAGAAAAACTCAGCCTTGAGTCCGAGCTCGCGCGCGACAAAACGGGATTCGCGGTACCTGGAAAGGACCAGTGCGCGTCTGCGCGAAGACAAATATTGTTTTAGCGACACGAGTGTCGAGTGCTCGTCGATAGACCCGATAAATTTAGCAATATTAATCCGCCGATATGTGCTCAACCAAATGTGCTACTGGAAAGCAAGGATATCCGAGAAGAATGAAGAAACGAGAATTTAAATTTTTTCAGTGGGTTTTGGTCTTGCAATGACAAGTGAAAGAAACATCTGCATGGTTGCCTAGCCATCAAACGTAGACAATTCGAATGCAAAAAAAATGTAATTAAGGTATATGTAACCCAATCGCGAATATTATGATACTCGCGTTGCGCCATTTCGTGCAGCCTCGCCATTACTATTAATTATATTTTAATTAACCGTTCAACGTGCATTCGGCCAAATGAAGTTTCGCTAAACGACTCCGAAAGCCGCAATGACAAACCAAGATGATAATTGTTATACGCAATGAGACTGGATGATGCAAATACGACGTTACGAAACGTCGAGCGCATCAGCTGCGCTCGCTGCTGAAAATTCTCGTATTGAATGCAACAGCGCGTCTAGAATGCATCCACATTCGCAGCTGATGGTATGGCACGCGTACACTATCATTTAGCGACTACGTAATTGTCTATTAACTTGGGAGAATAATTTTTGCTGCGCCGTTTCCTGGAAGCTATTATACGAACGGAAACTGGTAATTCAACATTCGACGATCGGGTGCTCGCAGGAAGGGTTCGGGCTCTTCGTTTCCCTAATTATCTATTAATCGTCAGGTGTATCCTCCTCAGAGTCGCTATGTGCTCTTCCACAGGCAAGCGCAAATTTTCCTTTTCCTCTCTGCGACGCGTAATAGAAGCCGTTCTAAATGACAATTTATGAATGAAGAAATATTTACTCCATCATTCTCGTTTTAATCAATAATGCGCATCGAGCGAAATAAATTGCGCGTAAATTTTCGTCTCGACTATCTGCATAAAACACTGGCTGAATTTTTGGCAGATACCGGTTCGCATCGCGATACTTGTATCACATGGCCAATATTCCGTCGACGTTATGTTAATTTTTGTTTATCGCAGCTGCGCGTATTACGATCCTGAATATATTATCCGAAGCCAGTTGATCGCCTGCCTAAGCATTTAGTAATAAAACTAAATTATCTACACATATAAACAGAAATGTAAATACGTCATCTTTGTTAACAGCGACCAAATAAAAGTTTAAAAACCAAAATATTATTTAGTGTGATATTGATATTCATGTGTAAAAATTAAAAATAAAATTATTTTTCTTGTGGAGACATAGCAAAAAATCTCTGTAATTTAAAAGTTATAAATGTTTGCTCGGTGACATATAAATGACATAAAATCTTTGTCCATATTTTACTATAAAATGCATATCTTATGATAGTCACGAAACTAGTCAAATGGCGTAGATTGTAAAAACCCTATTGGGGGCCATTTATCGTTCTCGAATCGAGTGAAAAAATATTGGACGAATAACACGAACATCCTTAAACTCGCTCTTTATGAGATATAAAGCTTAATCTTTGCCTAGTGACACAGATCTGCGGGCAGGAATGTTCCTTCAACGAATATGATGGAGGTACATTTTACGACTGTGTGAAAATGTTTGAGTTTAAACATCATTAACGAATTATTTGTCGTGCAGTCGATGCTCTCCGCGACCTTCTACAGGTAGATGTCAAATGTCCTCGAAAGACTTTCACTTTTTATCTTTTTTCTCAAAGCACAAAAAAATTTACGTGAGGTCTTTTCTTAACTCCATCTTTATATACAGACAGAAATGAGATTTAATTTATCAAATTAAGACGACTGAAACTTCCGCGATAAAAAAAATACGCTAGGTATTACCGAGGTATTACTTCGAAATCATAAGTGCTTCGCGAAGCTATTATCTTTTTTTCGGTAATAAAGAAGAAATATTAAAATCGCGCACGAAGCAACTCAGCTACAAGGATGGGTATAATTTTGCATTATTACGCACATTATTCTTTATATTCGCATCGCTGCATACCCACAACTGCAAGTTTACCTATCTATATTTTAAATTGCGCAATGTAAAAACTATTTACCATGTTTCTAACAAACGACAGGATGTTAATAATTGGTCGTAAAAATTGTTAAACATGTGATTTCATCATCTCGCAAGTAATAAAAATATTGATTGATTAAAAAAAATCGTGCACGTTACAAAAAACCTTGACTTACAAAAATAACTCTAAATAACGAAATTAATAACTTAAAAAATTTTAAACAAAATAAATGATTACAGTATCTTGAGTATTACACAAATAATATTATATATAAGTATA